AAATATTCGTACATAAAAAAAATTCAACTATATCTTTGATGCAGCTTTTACTTCACAAAACTTTGGAATAAAAAACATTATTAAAATTAAGTATAATTTTATGTATAAGAAATTATAAACCCAATACAACAGAGTTTTACATTAATAAGAAAAAGGCAATTATTTCCGATATTGTGTACTTTATATATCCATACTATGCTCGAAGTTTCAAAAATTTCTGCTCTTTAACGTAGATGGCGCAAAAAACCAATGGTGTTTAATACGCGTACAGAGAATTTCTAACCCTATCTCTGTATGTATACTCTATGTTCAAATGATAATGCAGTGCAGATGATGATACATAACGTCACGCTCTATGGTTTGTGGTGATGTGTTCTTTGTTCGACAAGTTCAACGCTAATAAACATTTTTGCTAAAAGATCCTGCCCCGAACAATATGTATTAACTAACTGGACGTAAGAGTATAAATCATTTTAGTTGTTCATATTTGTGAAACACCGAACAAAAATGTTCTCGAAGGGAACACAATACAAAACGTTGAAGACGCATTTGCGTCTAGCAATATATCGAATGCAATTACTCGAGAAGAAGAAAACCGAGCTCGCGCAAAAAGCACGAAAAGAAATTGCTGACTATATTGCAACGGGAAAAGTAGAAAGAGCTAAAATACGCGTGGAACATATAATTAGGGAAGATTACATGGTCGAGGCTATGGAACTGCTTGAAATGTATTGTGATCTCTTATTGGCACGTTTTGGTCTCATCATGCAAATGAAGTAAGAATTCTATGAATAATGACTATTTTCAGATGACACACTTATCATATTCATTATACATGTATTGGGTTTTTATAGAGACTTGGATGAAGGTTTAGCCGAAGCTATTTCTACAATAATTTGGGCTGCTCCTAGAATTCAAACTGATGTTCGTGAAATGAAAGTAATTGCTGACATTTTGTCAGCAAAGTATGGTAAACAATATACAGATGCTTGCAGAGAAGAAGCGGTGCAAAGTATTTCTGAAAAGTTGAAACAGAAGATGAGCGTACAGTCACCGTCCAAACTTCTTGTTGAAAAATATCTTATAGAAATTGCTAAGAACTATGATGTTCCTTATGAACCAGACCCCCAAGTATGTATTAAAAAGTAGAAAAAAATGACAGTAGCTTATAGTATGTACATGCATAAACTTCGATGATGTAGGTAATGGCGGAGGGAAAAGATACATTGTTGATAGATATTGGAGGTAATGGAGAAGGAAGGAATAATTTAGATACAGCTTCCGGAGGTGGCATGCCACAACCAGTTGGATTTATTGGATTTCCTCAACCTCCACTATTACCAGATCCTACAGCGAATCTGATAGTAAGTGGTGTTCACTTCCATAAGAACTTTTCTAACTGAAAAGAGTTATTATTTATTTATTTTCCCAGAATTCAGAGAAAGGAGCAATGGGTTTTGTTAATCCTTCAGGACCTCTAGAAGATAAAGCTCAAAATGTTCCTCACAATGTTCCTACTGTTTCATACAACATTCCTTTAGATAACTCCAATGATAACAGACCTGTGAGTAATCATGACATCACTTCTATAAATACTTCAATTATATAACACATCTTAATTTTGATTTTTCTTTATAGTTCTAACAGTACAATATTTATTTGTTTAGGAAAATGACTTACCTCCACCATACAGTTCATTTCCACCTGATTTAAACAAACAGGTCAGATAACGATATATGTGTTCTAGCATGTGCAAAGCAATATTGTTGCTAATTTTGTTCGATTTGTAATTTATAATTTTGTAATTCTTCATTACAGTCCGATCAGAAACCAAAACCACAACCACGATCAAAAATGCCGATGAATGATTTTCAGCTTCCAGATTTACCAGCTGTTCCATCGGAGAATGATTTACCTCCAATTAATTCAACTACTACCGAGGATATTGATTTTGATGATTTAATGAAACGTTTCGAAGATTTAAAGAAGAGGAAATAGTCTTTTATGTTCATAAAAATATATTGCGTAAATTATGTATGTTATAATGCAACATATGTATATGTACAACTGTAAAAATTTGAAATATTGTAGTTTTATCGTTGTATAATATTTTTCAATTTACGTAACCAAATAACGTTACAGNACCGAGGATATTGATTTTGATGATTTAATGAAACGTTTCGAAGATTTAAAGAAGAGGAAATAGTCTTTTATGTTCATAAAAATATATTGCGTAAATTATGTATGTTATAATGCAACATATGTATATGTACAACTGTAAAAATTTGAAATATTGTAGTTTTATCGTTGTATAATATTTTTCAATTTACGTAACCAAATAACGTTACAG